GGAAAGTGGAATACTAATCATTTTGTGAGCTTGCGAGAATTACACCGAACGAAATTTGATCGGTATACTAATATATAGATCTAGAGTTATAGGATATGCGAAGGGTGTGCGGTAATCAAATTGTAGTTTATGGCCATGCTAACATGTACAAAGCAAGTGATGAGTTTTGTGGTCAAAATACTTCTTCCTGAAAGCACAGTGGGATTCATGAAATGGTTAATTTTTCGGACGAAACCCCGGACCGTTCCAGTGAAAACGAACCACTGCTGTCAGACTACTAATTATTGCCTATAAATGAAGTGGTTTCAATTGATGGGCGGGAGATCTAATCATGAGAAAGTACTACTGTACCAAAGGGCACGGATTTCCTCGCGCTTAACTCGTAAGTTTACTACCATGACCTCATTGTTAGCGAAAGGATGTGACTGAGGACTGCTGAATTTGTCCAATGTTCCTGGTATGTTTATACATTTTAATCTACTAGTCCAGTTATTTTATGTGACCATGGTTAGTCCTCAGTATGTAGTTAGCTTTCTAAGGAAAAAAAGTAAGCAGCATCGCACAACGGGTTGTGCGAACTGCTCACATCCGACTGTATGTTCACATTCAACTCAAAACATTGCGGTCAAGGAGATTATGCGTATTGGAAATCGAATGACTGGATATGCTCCGTATTCTTTTCAAACAAAACTAGAAACCCGGACAGTTCTACAAGTTACTCCAACCCCAAACAGCATGATGTTCACAAGACACTTCTATGTAGGAAAGCATCTTCGATGCGACTACCTCACAAACAATTACTGAATGTGTGTGCCCGTTGGAAATTGAGGTTGGATAAACTCAACTCACCACCAATCGCTGTAGAAGAATCGATCTCCGAAATGCATAAGCTCACCAACCAGATTGAGAAAGGAATGAAATGAGGAGTAGAAAAAAATGAGCCAAATCAGATGATTCGGGATCGCCAACTTTAAACAACGCTCCAAAATTTCGCTGATGTTGGATTCTGCGATGGGAGCTACACTGTTTTTGAGAGTCGGTATCATCCATTGTTGCGTTAGACAAAGCATTAGCTGGGACAAGAAGACCTGCGAACAGATTGGAAATAAAGGGGAAAACCACGATGAAAAGAGGCCATTAAAACAATCAAACCATAACGAAAAACTGACGTTTGAAAAAATTCCATTCCGATAGGTCGTTTCTAAGAACCCTTTAGGAAAGCTAAATCCATCGTCGGGGTGATACGTATCCTAGTACGTGACAAAAACAAGATGGATTAAGCGATTACCACAAAGTTCCGTTTTCCTGTGGGAATGTTGTTAGTTAGTAAAAATCAGTATTAAACGGGACCATTCGTGATCAGAGCAAGTTAATTGGATCAGTGGAGAAACACACTAGGTCATTCCAGAAGACGAAAATGATACAGGTTCAGTTTCAAAGGACCAGTTAAAATAACCGCAAGGATTAAAAAGGATGGGCTGAAAGCGAAAGCCACGTGGACAAACCTTTTCAAGGACACATATTATATGTCGCCTAGATCACATTCACAATCGTTCGTTTTGCCACTCAATAGATAATCAGCCGTTCCCTCAGAGTTTAGGTTTCACCAAAACTCTGGCTTGTTCATTTTGAATTTACTGATGACAGCGTCGTTTTCAGCGAGGATGACTATGACCTGTAAGAAATCGTTAGTCGTATCAGTTGACAGACCACCGAGACTGACCTATGGTTGTGATTCATCCAATTCGTTCCAACTAAGCGGCGAGACGACCGCATGAGACATATACAGACTGCCAACGCATGACCACTATTTGTCCCACCAAACAGTGTGTACGAGAAGGCCACACTACATAAACTGTCTATGATTGTATTCACCAGCTAGGGTTGCCGACTGCTTTGTGTGTTTGACCTTCAAGTACAGTGGAAAATGTGTCAGCGGACTGTAATAGGCTAACTATCCGGGGTTCGTTGTATGCACCAAACCCTGATCGAACTTTTGACTTCACGCGTTGACGGTCAATTTCGGAGGAAAACAACTGGGTAGACGCCAATTGTT